GGGGGGGAAAGACTTAAAGGGAACTTGCTACAGAGATCATCTAATTTAGTGATCTTTAACAGCAGAATTCTTTAAAAATAAATATATACATGTATATGTATATATACATATGTATATGTACATATGTATATATACACACATATATGTATGTATACATATGTACATATGTATATATACACACATATACATATATATTCCCAATATAATATTATTTACACTATTGTCACAAACCACTTTTCAACAGATTAAAAAAAAATACAAACTTTAGAATTGCTCTGTCCAAACTAAGGTGAATTTTAATTACTGGGATCTAAACATTTCTAAGTATTTTCGTTCCAACTTAGCATTACAAATCAATCAAAGCATCAAAAGTTTGTGGATATAAAGAATTTTGGGAAGAAAGAATTTGCCAGATTTATGCGGTTGAGCTAATAAATCATATGTATTTCCAAACTACTATTTACAAAGAAGAAATTTTATTTTGTGACATATGAAACTTAAAAAATGTATTACAGTCTGTAAGGGACCAGGTATTTTCTTCAAAGTGTCGACTTTTGCTATTGCTGCCCTCTGGAATGTTATTATAGAGCAAGAGTTTGCTCTTGTGATAAGGAAACATGAAAAAAAAAATCAGAAAAGTGAACTGTGGTTGGACTGGGCAGTTATAAAAATAGACTCTGTCAACTCCTTTAGACACTCCTTTTGCTATTCTGCAGGTTTTCCAGGGCAAATTTTCACCTTAAAAGGCTACTATTTCTCTTAGTTTGTTTGCCCTCTAAAATAGCTTACCTGACTATCGATGTGGAAGGAAGGAAACTATTTTCTAAGTAATCCAAAAAGCAAACAATTACCAAAAAGTCTTCCTTCTAAAAGCATTCTAAACCATTCTAGAACCAACAGATGTGCTGCTTGGATGACACAGGGTAACACAGACTGTGGTGAAGGAGCCTGAGATTATGGACGCCCCTGGGAAAGCTCACTGTGGCGAAAGAGCCTGTGAACCAGAAATCAAGGGAGACAGCTGTTTCTGCGCCCACCACCCAGCTCAGCTAAGTCCCTCCGATGTCTCAGGGCTCAGTGTCCTCATTGCTAATGGTGATACCCGTTGTGTGTCAATCACAAGGCTACCTGCATGATACATTACACATGAACCATTTATTTATTCATTTAAATAAATGAATCAGATCATTCATTCATTCCTTCATCCAATCAATGTTTATTGAACACCATCCACATGCCCAACACTATTCTAAGCAAGGAAATACCACAGTGAATATCTCTGCCCTCAAGGAACTTACAAGCCGGTGGTGGACATGGACAAGTTAAGAGGTAAATCTCTCTCCCGTGTGAAGAAAGCTGTGAAAGGGGTGGAGGTACAGGATACACGTAGGAGGGGCTCCTCTCTCACACCTGGAGCATCAGAGCAGGTTTCTGGGAAGAAGTGATGTGTAAGGAGAGGCCTGAATGGTGAGGGGGATCAGGCAGTGAAGGGCTGGGGGTGCCCCAGGCACAGAGCGTGTGAAAAAACCTCTGGAGAACAGACAGCACATGGTACCTTAGAGGAAACAAAGGAATTCAGTGTAGCTGGATCCTGGCAAGCAGAGGCACTTGGGGAGGGAGTTTAGAGAGGCAGGCAAAGATGAAGTCATGAAGGACGTTACAAGCCACCTTGAGCAGTGTGGACTTTGTCCAACAGGCAATAAGGAGCCTTAGAAGGGGAGAAACAAGTGCTCAGGTGCAAGGCTGCAAAGAACAGAATGAACTGTAGGGAGCCAGTAAGAGAGACACCGGACAGGAGCCTGTTTCTAAAATCCACATGAGAATTAGTAGTGGTGTGAGATGGGGATGGAGAAAAGTGAGTATATCCTAGATTTTTGCAGGAGACAGTCTTGACAGGCCTTGATATGTGAAGACAGGTGGAGAAACTGGGAGTCAAGGATGAGACCCAGGTCTTGGCTTTGGGCAACGAGAAGCTGGTGATGCCATCCACTGGAATTGGAAACGCAGGACACTTGTGTGGGTGGGGCAGCTAAGAGACTCACTTATGGACATAAGATGCCTGTCCATGCTGAGATGTCAGGTAGCGAGCTCTGGGGACAGGCGGATTTGGGAGTCATCAGCACAGAAGTATTGGTTAGAGCTAAGAGGATGCATGATATTTCCCAGGAAGAGTAAGTAAAGTAAGAAAACAATTAGGATTCTGGCAAGCAACAACATTTAAGAGACGGCCAGGTAAAGACCTCATGAAAACATGATTATAATAGCTAACATTTACTTAGTACCTATTATGTGCCAGGCATTAGGCTGGGCCCATTATACATATTCGCCTGAAAATGTACAGCAATGCTACCAATTTATTAGACCACAATGTTAGGGTCATCTTTTTGTTTCCTTAAGATTCAGCCTCCTTTGAGATTCTCTTTGGTCTACACAGCTGGTAAAGTCAGTGCTCCCGTGGAGAAGCTATCTGGTCCTGAGTTGTTTGTGAAGGGGAAAATTAGATCTCTGTAGTTCTGGGTCTTAGAAACTCTTTCCCTCCCTTGGACTTGCTTTAAATTCATCCATAGAATTATAAGGCATACAGTGCCAAGATGAAGGTACGGGCCTAGGGCACAAAGGGTAAGGAAGCTGCTTTGGCCAGTTTTGTTTCCAAGTCTTAGAGCTTGTAACTAATCATGGTCCTCATGGCTTCACACAATTCAGCCCAGATCTGCAAAGATAAGGTTTCACACTGGAGTGCAGGGCCCAATCCAAGGTAGGAATAGAGTGTTTCTTGGCCTGACATTGTCATCGTGCACACTTTTGATTTCCGTTTCAGGGAAACGGGAATTACAAAGAATTGGGATAAGATTCAAGTGTTTGGCTCTCTGCTGTTACTCAATTCATTTCCCTCTAGAGAAACAAGTCATACCAAGGTCACAGAGAGGACTAGATGAAATGAAATTCAATCCCAGTTTGCCCTGGCCAATCCTGGTTTACACCTTTTGTCCCATTATCCTGTCCAGGTGAGAAACTGACCCCTCCCCAAATGGTCCTGTTTGGGCAAAGTATATGATCAATCATATAGGACTAAAGTCCAGACCCCAAAACTTGTAAATCGATGCCTTTTCTGCTTCTCTGGGATGTTGCTTTTTTGTCTGTGCTCCATTCTCAGGCCTCCTCAACAAAAATTTATCACTGCTACTCAAACACATGGCATAACTGTAAGGACAGCAGCCCATCTCTGTTTTTGAACAGCAAATTATTTTTAAAAGGATCAGTAAAAAGATATACCTAGGGGGCTTCCCTGGTGGCGCAGTGGTTGAGAATCTGCCTGCCAATGCAAGGGACACGGGTTCGAGCCCTGGTCTGGGAAGATCCCACATGCCGCAGAGCAACTAGGCCCGTGAACCATGGCCGCTGAGCCTGCGCGTCCGGAGCCTATGCTCCACAACGGGAGAGGCCGCGATAGTGAGAGGCCCGTGCACCGCGATGAAGAGTGGTCCCCACTTGCCGCAACTAGAGAAAGCCCTCGCACAGAAACGAAGACCCAACACAGCCAAAAATAAATAATTAATTAATTAAAAAAAAAAAAGATATACCTAAGTATGAGTTGATCAAATAAAAATCTAAACAGGTAAAATTTCTGCACATATTGGCATTTAAAATCTTAACCATGTCTTCTAAAATTTTAGATTATTTTTATGATCCTGATTTCCTGTAAACTTTATTGTGACTTGGCAATACTTGCAGATTTTATAAAGTCTAATGTCTTCCTTTCAAAGTTTCTCTCCCACCACACTGTGTTCCTATAGTTCATTCTCTGAAGTCACATCAAAGACCTTAAAATGTGTCACTTGCAATTTAGTTAATGTTTTCTTTAAAACCCCTGTTTGTTCGGTAATAAGGAAACTTTGATAATGAAGACGGTTAATCTAAGTGCATTTTATTAGGGGCATGTTAAGGTTAGACACTCAATGGGTAAGTGTTTAACACTCACAGGCATTTCAAAGCTTCTGTCAAGATCTACTCTGAAGGGAGGAAGCCAAGGAAAGAACATTTGGGATAAACCGAATTGGGCTTTACAACAAGGACCAAATATGTCAGAGACAGTGGAATAAAGCTGTTCTCTGAGAAGACCTTTGCATCTCAATGTTCTTAGGTCCCATAATTATAGTCTGCCACCATCCAGAGCTTTGCACATAAACCTCAAGTTTAGTAAACTGGAACAATTTATGTTCTCCTTTTCTTAAATATAATGCCTGTATTTCAAGGATTATCAGTTAACAGCTAGGGTGTCTGTTAAGGGAACCAAGAATCCCACTCTAGCTCTCCCCCAGCCCTAAATTCCTTAACCACCTGGTGGGTAAATACAGGGTATTATTTAGGAATTTAGATTCCATTTTAATCCATGTATTTCCTATGGTGTCCTAATGACCTCAAGGAATAGAGTCTGCCACATCTACGTCATGTGGTATTTTGGCTGGAGGTGCTCACAGCCAAAGCCTCTGAAGGTGGTTGATTTCTGGTGACTTCCAGAGAAGATTGTAGCCATCTTCAGGTGTTCTAGGATGATCATTAACCTTTTGTGCTAAACCTATGCTTCCCAGAGAAGTATATCATGTCAAACCAAAGCCTCCTTCTTATGCTGGGAAAGTTTCAGAACCTGGACAGGGAGTAGATGAGATGGTGTGGACAGATGCTCCTCTGTATCGGGAATAATCCTGGTGTGCTGTAGGTGTCTGGGTCTCTCCTAGTTCATGTCTCAGTGATGCGCATTTGGGAAGAAGGCCAAAGTATACTATCTCTGGGGCCTGATAGTTGGAGACTTACTACTGAGGAAAGGGCTAGGTCTCATCCAAAAAACTTGGTGCTTGAGGTATATTAGAGTTTTCCATTTTAAAGTTATCCACACACACATGCACATACATGCACAAAAGTGTATAAAATTATCTCAGCTGTGATAGCCACTCGTGTGTATGAGCAACCTTTTTCAGAATTACTTCAGTGAGCATCCTTACCTCATCAGCAACTCTCCATATTTCTTGATCACTCCACTGCCCATAAGGATCCAGGTTTTTTCTAAATGTTCCATAAAAGATGAATACTTTCTATATCAATAAAAAAAGAGGAAAGCATGAATAACCTAAAAAACTTTGTATATTTCCCTCATTTTATTGTGAAATATTCCAAACAGAAAAAAATATTTTAAAAAATAGCACAACAAACATCCATGTACCTACCGTCCAGTTTTCTTAAATTTTTATCATATTTGCTTTGCATCTTTTTTAAGAAATAAAAGATTACAGCTACATTTGAAGCCCCTTGTTAACACTTATCTAATCACAATGTCCTTAGAATAAAGAAATTGAGATCACTATAAGTTGTGGGAAATTAAATTTTTTTTATTCCTAGTAATATTCCTTACTATGAACAAATATAAAATTAAAGTTAAAAATTATAAGTTTATGAGTTATAATTAACTTGTTAGAAGAAATTCCTATTTTGTTCATGTATTTTCCTTGGATTTCTTTTATGATCCTAGCTTCCTCAGGGATTCTGAAACTCTATGAATTTACAGACACTCAAACACATATGTTCATATGGTCTATAAACCAAGGCACACTTCTACTTATACAACTAGACAGACACAGGAAAGTGTCACGACTTAGAAATCAGTGAAAGAATGAGAATCAAATATTTGTTTAACTGAATGTATGACACAGAAGGGAAGGGAGGCAGATGAGCTGGATCCTGCTGAGGTAGCAAAATGACAATCAAATTTCCTGTAAGGAGCATTGCACAACTATCCCCCCTACTTGCTCCATCACTGTCTACTTAGGTCTGCCTATATGAATAAAAAAATTTTTTTAAAGAAAATCACTGTCTCACTGGGAAATGCTGATGTAACAATAAAGATAATATTTAGGTCTCTCTCTCTCTGTACACATGGGTGAACTGAAAAATACTTTTGATGTAACATTCAGAAAATTTTTTTCTTTACCATTTTTCTTTTGCCTTTGGTTAATAACATCCAGTCAGGAGAATTGAGAACTAAATTCTTTGAAGCTTTAGTTTTCACTAATTGCCTTAGGCTAAGAGAGAATGCTCAGTGCCCAACTGGTCTGTGAGGAACTGCACAAGGTAAGTCAGCCCCAGATGAATGGTGTCTGTGCCTCTCAGGCAGAAGGAGAGTATCCTCACCATGGCAGCCAAGTTCAAGGACAGTCACATTAGAAACCTCAGTCCCCGGGGCATAATTTATGGCTTAAAGAACAAAGTTGTGGTCACATATCACAGGAACCCTCTGGAGAAGGCAACAAGACTTATGCTGGTATTTCTTAATCTGCATCAAATCACGTTCCTAAGAGATGCTTCCACTGCTTTACAGAAGTGAATATAAGAGACAAATATATCACTCATAAGAGATGATGGATATATTTGTACATCCTCCTCCAAGCTTCCAAGTAAATGAAAGTAATGTCCAAATAAGTTAAAGAGAGCAGACAAAGTGTGCTATCAGGAGATTCTGATAAACTAAAGAGAATTAAATAAGAAGTGGCTCTGAGAACGCCAGTCAATGTATTATTGAAGCAATTAGGTTTATTTGGTATCTAAAGTTCAAAGGCTTGCCAATGGAATTTTGCCATTTACTGTTTTTCACATGTTTTCTTTTAATATTATGTTTCTTTACATAAAAGCTTCTAGCATTATTGAGAAACATAGGAAATAACAACTGTGAGGGTTTACCAAGTATAAGCCAATGTATTACTTCACTGAAGTTATCTCCACCGGGAACTCAGAGGCCAGAACACAGAGCTCCGGTCTATGGCAGGCTTACCATGTGCCTGGTAAGGCTCTTTACATGTGTTATATCTTTTTATCTTCATATCAGCCTAATGAAATAGATCTTATTGTACATGAAGAAATCACAGCTGGGAGAAGTTAAGTGACTTGCCCAGGGTTACTTAGCTAGTAGTTATAGAGCTGGAATTCAAACCTAATAGTGTTTGTCTCCAAACCTGTGCTCCTCATAACCATAGCAAAATGCCTCAAGTCCTGGGAAGACCAGTTTTTATTCCTATCTGGAGCTCAAGAAAGATTAAAGGTTGAGCAGGTGCAGCCCATTGGGTCCATAAAGAGCCCATCAGTGCTCAGCAGCATAGTCATAATCCAAGCACTGCTATCCATCCCCCTGGTCACAGGCTCAGTTCCTGCACTGGGAGTGGAGATTTTAGCTTCCTGTTCCTATTCAGGACCTGACTTGAAGGCTTTTATATGGGTTACAGTGTCCTTGTAACTTTCAAAGAGACTTAACACATCCAATGGAAGAGCACAATAGGAAATTTTACTTTGGCCAAATGGAAAAGGCCATTATTCTGGAGGACTGTGTAGAGGCCAAAGGTGTCATAACATCAAAGCAGACACAGAAGTTATAAAGGCAAGGTGCCTTGCTAAGATGCTGTGGCAATGCAGCTCTGGCCTGGTAGGTATACCTATGAACAGGAACCCAATCTCTTTGAGCCTTAGTGTTATTGTAAAATGGGGAGATGCTACCTTTCTTCTCAAATCTTCTCTAACTTTGGGCTTTCCCATTTTGATAGATGGCACCTTTTTTTATCAATCCACAAACTTTGGAGTCATCCATGACTTATCTTTCTTCCTGATCCTCCCAAATGGAACCAATCATCAGTCCTGTGGATTGTTTTCCCCAATATATCTCAAATCCACTTGTTTCTCTATCTCTATGGCCACCACATAGTTCAAGCCACCAGTATCTTTCTCTGAACACTGTAAGAACCTCCTAATTGGTTTCCTTCCTTTCACTCTTGCCTCCTTCCCAGTCCACTCTCATTTAGCAACCAAAGTAATCACCACAAGTGTAAGTTGCATCATGTCATTAACCTTTTAAAAAACTGTCAGTGGCCTTCCATTACATTCAGAGTAAAATGTAAAACCCTTCAGATGGCCTACAGACGCTGCATGATGCAGCCTCTTGCACTTCGTCTGTCTCATTTAGTGCCCCTGGCTACTCCACTCCCTTTTTCACTCCAGCCTCCAGCCACCTGGGTTTCTTTTACTTCCTCAGTTCACTTCACACATTCTATCCTCCCGGCCTGGGAATCTCATCCCCTACCTTCTTCCTATGGCCAACTACATCCTTCAGGTCTCAAGTTCAATGTCACTTCCTCAGAGAATCTCTCTTGATTCTTAACACCGAATAACGTCGTCCAGTAGGATATGGCTTATAGTGAATATTAAAATTACATATGCATTTATGAGCATTTTGTTTTTAATGTCGATCTCCTCTCCTAGACCATAACTTTGCTGTGTACCCTGTCATTAGCACACAGGCTTTGCATAGTATATGCTCAGTAAACACTGCCTGAGTAAATAAATGGGCTGATGTGAACATAAGAAGTAAAACTATGAAACATCATAGTCACAGTTCAGCACATACTATTTTTCTTCCTTTTGAAAGAATAGCTACCACAACCCAGAGTGCTTAAATGAATAGTACTAACAGCCCATTAAGACTTTGATGTTTGTAATTGCTTGAGAAATGGTGTGCCTAACTTTTTTCACAGTAGCCTGATAATTTATACGTAATAAATGTATGGCAATATACTATATATTAATTTTATTTAAAATAGATACATACTAAAAATTACACTGGAAGAAAGTTTTTGTTGAAACTAGACATCCAAAAATTTTAGATTCAGTGGATTTGGTACCATTCAGAAATTCTATAGGTCTTTTGTTTACAGTTTATTGTCTAGCATTAAAATAATACTTTAACTTTAAAGAAAAATTAAGTGAACGAACTGGTTCAGTTAAAATTCAGTTTCATACAATTAATCAAACATTCCATTCTTGTCTGACAAATAGTACCTGGCACTCATTTGCTTTGAGGGGTGCCAGTGGGTGTCCCATTGTTTTCTATACTATTGGAAACAGTGTTTCTACAAACTCATCTCTAAAGCTGAGAGGTCCTTGGAGGTCACCTATGTCCTTTTCCTGGTGTACAGATGAAACAGCCAGGGTCCTAAGAAATTATATGGTTTGGCCAAGGAGGCACAGTCTGATTGTGCAGAAAAAAATACGCTGGAAATTATATATCACAATGATCTTCTACCTCTCTTTCAAGAAACTGTTCACCGGTGGGAAAATTAGGATGTGCAAATATTTGATATTTATGTAATGTCATCACGTATGTATGCTACAAAAACAATTCTTGGGGCTCAAGGAAGAACAAAGAGAGCACCATTGTTCGCCACCTGACTCATCTCTTCCCTGAAGCTGACTCCTCAACCGCTCAGGTCAGTGGCGATGGCTGAGCCTGTGTGGGGCATTCAGGGCTGGCCACGCATCACAGCAACAGGCATTATGCTTTAGACTTGGAGGTCAGATGAAAAACAAAAAAGCATTTGTCTTCTGCGGTTATTGAGTGTAGTATAAATTAAATAAGTGGGAGGAATGACTCCTTATCCTTAAGTATATAGTGTTGCTTTGTTTTGGCTCAGAAGGGTGGGAGAAAACAATATATATATATATACACAATATGTATATACATACATATACAATGTATAGTTTTATTAAAATGTGGGCCAAATGTTTATAAGCAACAAAGTGTCTGTGATCTTGCCTTTTGGCAATGTTTGCAAAACTTTATTATACATTGAATTTGTACAATAAAAATTCATCCAATATGAACAAATCGAGATCCTAAGGTTGGATTACAGAATGTCTAAAAATAAATGCTGCTTTGCTTTTAGGAACATCTAGAAAGAAAAACAAGGTGAATTTTATGAGTCAAAAATGTTTAAGCTTGATAACAACTTGAGAATAACCTTAAAATTTTGATGTACATATCATTTATTTGTAGGTAAATTGACTGCATGTAATGTGTTCAGATTTTTGTTTCTGTAAAGTCATTTAATGTTTCACGACCTTTTACACTACGTTTTAATACACACTTTATCAGAAATAGCATTAAAAAAATGATTTTCAGACCTGGCCAAATTATCACAAATTTCAAATGGTTAGGCTCAGAAATAGTACAATTGTGTTGCACTAATGTCCATACTAGTTATTTTTCGTTTCTCCCTTGAATTCGGCACTCCACGCCCAATGCCCACTGTCCTCTTCACTTTAGTCCAGGCTCTCACCACATCACAGCTAGAGAGTTTCTGAGCCCATCTCCCTGCTTCCCATCCTGCCTGCTGAAGTCCTCTGTCCACACACAGCCAGCCGCAGCATACCCTTTGGCTGCTCTTTTCCTACCCTCCTTCCAGCTCAAGAAGACTCAACCCACTCTTCGACCACTTTAGTACTAGTGAAGTCTTTCCCTCTTTCTCCTAACGCTCCCTAACAGGCGGCCTCCTCTGCCCATTTTGCCCCCACAGCTCTTTCTAGTTCCACCTCTGTAGCTGTTTACAATATCCATGTCTAGGATCCTAGAATATCCTCTCCACAGCTCCCTGCCCCCAACCCTTCTAAAACCTACACATTTTACGACCCTTTAAGGCCCACCTCCATCATCATCTTCTTTGTGAGACTGTCAATACTCATTGGTCAATACAAAGATGAAAGAGACATGCTCCTCTACCCTTAAGGAACTCTAAAAAATAGTAACAACCAGCATAACACAGTGTGTTGTAATTTCTACATGCCAGGGAGCAGTTTAAGTACTTCGAGTTATTTATTCCTTTACTCATTTAATCCTCATAAAACCCCAATGAAGTAGTTACTACCATTATACACATTTTACAGACAAGGAAATTGAGGCTCAGAGAAATTAAATAAATTGCATAAGGTTATACAGCAAGAAAACCCAGACACTGGTAGAACCACAGCCTCTTGTAAAAGAGAGCAAGCATTTAGTGACTCAGCAGAAAAATATACATCTTGAATTCCTACCATGTAACCTACTGTATGTGCTATATAAGAGATAGAAAAATCAGTAAGGGAAAAAAAAATCTATGTTGAATTTAGCATTGCTACTCTATTCTTCTTGCTAGATTTCTTTGTTGATGATTTTGTCTTTACGTCTTGCTTCCTTAACTAGTATGTCTACAAAGTGTTTATAATACTGAGTGGAAATTAAATAAATACACAGATAATTCCAATATAAGACATAGAGAAGTACCAGGAGAGATTTGTAAACAAAGTTCTAGATCCCATCTGGGATTGGGATGTGGGAGTGGAGAGCTGGGGTTAGAGTCAGGGTTAACAGGGAAAGGGAGGGAGTCAGAAGAGGCCATCTGGCAGAGTTTAACATCTGAGATGCCAAAGTGACTCCAGTGAAGGAAGATCATCTCAGACAGAGGAAGTGCGTGGACAGAGGAAATGAGCGAGAAAAGTGAGGTATATCTCACGGCACAGTAAGTCCAGCTTGACTGAAACTTAAAGGTGCCCAGGTATGAGGAGTGGTGGATCTGACTGGACAGGTTGGGTTGGGACCAGATTATCAGGGACCTAAGCCACAAATGGAAGAATCTGGATGTTATTCAGTGAAGAAAGGGGTGTCTTAGAAGGTTTTTGACTTGGCAAATCACAGAGCTGGAATGCTACTGTAAAAAGTTTAATCTGTGTGCAACATGTAATAGAGAATTCCAAAGAATAAGGTGAGAAAAGCACAGCAGTGGGGGTAAAAGAAGGAAGGCTACAGTTCTGTGGTGGAAGTAGTAATGACGGAGCTTGGAGCTGGATTCTTGCTCATCATTACCCATGGCACTCCATCACTATACTTAATTACCTATGCTTAATTTATCATTTTGGCTTCTTCCTCTGATCGCTGACTTAAGGCGATGAGCTCCCACTGAAAGCTCATGGGTGGGATTGGGACCTCAGTATCTTTTACATAAGTATGGAACCTATGGTACTTATTATCATTTAAAGCATATGGAAGTAGTTTAATAACTAATTATTAAATTGTTAATTATTGTGAAATTGAATGTGAACTGCTGCACTCACAGTTTCATTGTTCAGCTCTACAGATACATGATTTGGCCCCATCTGATAGCCCTGATAGCAAAAGATGCTCCAGCTCTGGGGGAAGTCGTATGCGGGTATGGATTATTTTCAGATCATAAAGTCTTATTGCAGGAATAGGCCTAGTCATTCCCCAATTATAGTTTGCAGCCTTTCAAATTTGTAATTGAGGCTTTAAAATAAATTTAAACTTATTTTTCTGTTTTTCATGAATTAAGTGATTAACAAGATTCAAGGCGAATGAACAATTTTAAGTCTTGGTGTTCAATTGCCTAAGCCAATGGGACTCTGACTATAGGCCTCACTGTCTTCTCCACGCTCTCAGAGCTGAGAGGTAAAGTAGAACAAATTAAAGAAGGCTCCACCTTGAAATGTACACAATGTCCTGTTTTCCACGCTGGTACCTTCTCTAAGATTGCTTTCTAGCTGCAGGAGGGAAGAACACACAAATACACACACACACGCACACACACACAAACTGCAAGAATTTGCCGAAACTAATGACATCTTGTGATTCCACAGCTGACGTCTCGGGATCACTATGAGGGAGAGGGAAGTTTCTTGTTCAAAGTTCCTGTTTCATGTGTCTGAAAACAAGTGATTAATTGACCTAGAGATCTCTGCTATCTCAATGTCAGAGGTCTTGGGGAAACTCTTGCAAGGTCAGAAAGATGGAAGGGAAAACAAAAGATGGAAAAGCAAACAAAAATAGTTCCTGGATTTTTAATTTCTTCTTTCTGCTTTTTAAAGATCAAACTCCAAAAAAGGAAAAAAATTACTTAACTTGAACTTTCAAAGGAAAGTTGGGAAAATAAAAGCAACTCTTGGTTTGGATGTTAAAAAGGTCTGAGGAGTTTACCCTCTTTCTCTCTTTCTTGGGCATTCACTTAACGTTCTCAAGAAGTCACTGTACAAGAAATAGTACCTTCTGTCTACAGACATCCTTGTGATACCGGAAGACAGTCCCAGAAACCAGGGTCATAAACATGTACAATGAGAAGCATTTTTATTAGCACGATTACACGGTTTTAAAGGCGTAGCTCAAAGTACTTCTTGTTTAGTTTATAAAAAACTTGATGCCGTAGAAGAGGGAAAAGGCAAGTTTGGAAGATTCATGTTGGCAGAGAGGCAAGATAAAGAATTTTCATAATTCTAGCTCACTTGGTTTTCCTCTACGTTTTGCATATTTGGGTTCCTAAATAGAACATACAATAAAACAAAAATCTTTTCATCACATGGCAGATAAACTAAAGGATTCTCAATGAAACTGAAATTATTTCTTAGAGCTTTGCTTATTCTAATGGGCGGATTTGTATAAACAAGAACAACAAAAAAGAACAAGTTTCACTACTGTAGTTTAAAATGAGATCAGAAAACAGAGTCAACTGAACGGCAGGGCATCTCGGAAAACCGAATTCTATCCCATGCTCTTCAACATTGTTATCTTGCCTAATGCTGTCACCTTGGGATACTTGTATTCCCAGTGTTTCTTTATCTTCAGATCCTCTGACAATCCCTTTTTTCTTTCTGAAGAAACAATACTGTTTTTCAAAAGTTCAACCAAAGCTGAACTTTTGAAAAAGCTTTTGATGAAACTTCTGGCAACATGACAAAGTTTAGACAAATGAATTAAAAGCATCAGTCTAGCAGTTACAATATTTAGTGCCTCATTAGATGAAAGGAGCAAATGTTCCACAGAGGTAATCTATCAAGACATACAAGCTGTTTTCTCAGGCTAGATCTGTAGCCTGTAGCATCTACCTGGAGATGCTCCTGGCATTTTAATTTTGTGTTAAAAGTAGAGAATTGTTAGGACCATGGTAGTAGAAAGGATTCAGTGCCCATTAGTATAAGGGGAACAAAGATATTAAACCAGCAACTATATCCATAGAGATGAGAACAAACACCAGTAGATATACAGCCCATGCCTTTCAGATTTGGTCCCAGTAAAGACATTCCTTGGTTTCCATTAAGATCATTTAAAAATGGAACTGTTGCTATTTCTCTCATAATTAAAAAGTCCTCTTGCACAATAGCACAGATAGAATGATACTAAGCCAGTGAGGCTGAAGATCCTTTGTGACCCAAATCAAAGAGTGACATTAAAAAAAAAAAAGCTACAGATTACTCTGACATGGTTCATTCTTTTCAAAGAACAATAAAACAATCATTACACTTTTTATTTTCAATTCCACTACTTCATGCTTCCAAGCGTTTGTTATTTCAGCAGCATCTTTTATATCTTGCAAAGCATTTCTCAACCTGCTGTTATTGCTAACTTGGAGCTCAGACCACTGAAGCAGAAAAAAAAAGTTGATAAAAACAAAAGCCCCATGCTTCTGCTGTGGTTTACGTCTTCCAGAAAAAGCTATCAAAACTATTAATAGTTCGATAACTGTATGTCAGAGAATTCCAAACTTCTAGAAGTAGTTTTTCTCCCTATGAAAAGGCTGCATTGCAGAAAAAAAAAGACAGCGATACATAGGGAATATATTTTGCAGGGAAATGTGAATTTCTTGAGTGCAAGTGTCAAATAAAGGGAACACTGTACTTAGTCATTTTTTTTACTAGCTAAGTCTTTCTGGCTTACCTGTGGTAGGACTCCAAAGGCTTTCCTCCACTGTTGCAAAGTTACTGAATCCCAAGACACACCATCTATCTGGATTTCTCCTTTGGTGTTCAGCAGTCTCAAAAAAGCCAGTAACAAAGTGCTCTTCCCTGATCCAGTTCTTCCCAAGAGGCCCACCTAGAATATCAGTGATGGAATTACTCCTGTGACAGATAGATACAATACCATAAATGTAATCTGATATTATACGTTAATAAAAAAACCCACTGGAACCGTTTTCTTGTTGCTGTTGTTGTTTTTTAAATCATCACCAGGGGAAGTTTCACTTATTCATTCAAACCTTTTTGCACACTTCAAATTCTGACCAAAATTGATCTGGAACAGAGCAACCCTGGAAGACAACATAGAAACTGGCCATAACAGATTGGACCCCTGATGCTGGGTTCATTTATCACTGACCTTTACTAACGGCAAAAAGGTTGAAAATGCCCATTTTGCATGGAAGAAAACAAAGATACAGTGTCTTAATGCACTAATTTTTTTTTAACATCTTTATTGGGGTATAATTGCTTTACAATGGTGTGTTAGTTTCTGCTTTATAACAAAGTGAATCAGTTATACATATACATATGTTCCCACATCTCTTCCCTCTTGCATCTCCCTCCCTCCCATCCTCCTTATCCCACCGCTCCAGGCTGTCACAAAGCACCGAGCTGATCTCCCTGTTAATGCTCTAATTTTTGAGAATGGGCTCAAGCCAGAAGCAGAGACCTGTAGCTTGATCTAGTTCCAAACATGAATATGAGTTTGAAAATTAATAAATCTGCAATGGTTCTAATATTTAGATACTGCCATAATAAAATAAGTGAGCATCAAGTTTAGGCCTAAATAAAGAATAAGTTCACATTCTCACAGAAGGCAGTTTGGGCCTTACCACTCCTCAGTGGATAAGCACATGGACAGTTGTCAAATCAACTTTTTATATCCATTCTGATTGGCAAGAAGAGAATTTTAGGAAGCAAAAGGGATATTAAGGAAAAGAAAAAACTAGTCTTGTTCCTTAAAGACTGTAAGAACACAGCACGGAAGTGAGAAGGCTGTGCACTGCAAGGAGAGAAGAGGTGCCTCATGTGCCCCACAGGGAGCTGACTCTGTGTTCTGATGCCAGCCCAGACCCAGCTCTTAGAGGAAGGTGCTGTGAGTGGGATAGAACATTTCTGCAGTCATTAACTAAACCCTGAATAAAGTGCTCGACATTTAGTGGCACTGAATGTCTCTTTCTTTCCCCTTACATTATTGCTATTTCTTTCTTATCATTTGGCCTTTTTACAAGAGAGCTGAACAAATGGTCTTGTAAATCGTGCTTTTTATACTATTTGTGGTAAAGGACAGTTTTGCTTTGTGTTTTAGTTTCCAATCCACCATCAGTACTTTAAAAAGTAGAAAATAAAAATGAATTTCTAAATGCTTACTCTCAATTTCTATACTTATTACAGACTAGTAACAGTTTCTAAACCAGAACTAGTTACAGACCACAATAAATGCTTGAGAGTGAAACCCACAATAATAACTTATTGACTACTGATTAGGAACCTGGTAGTAAACTAGGGCTTTAGGTAAGCTGATAAACAAAAGTGACACAATTGTCTTTCTGTCTATCATAAGAGCCCTATAATGGGAGTTTCACACATTTGTTTTCTGAGACAACTGAGAAAATCAGATAAACAACCTCAACCCTGTTGAGGTTCTTCATACTACTAATCACAATTGGTAATTATTTTATTTATTCTTTCCTTGATTATTGCTTGTATTCACCCAAAGAATATAAGTTCAAAAAGGGCAGTGTAATCTATCTTATTTTCCACTGAATTCTCTAGCACCTGGCACAGTGGTTGGCTCACATAAATACTCAATAAAAACTTACTTGGATTGACTGAGAGACAGTCAGATGGAAGGATGAATGGATGGATGGACAGACAGACAGATAGGTGGGTGAGCAGGTGGGTAGATAGATGGAAGGAAGGAAGGAAGGAAGGAGGGAAGGAAGGGAGGGAGGGTAGATGAATGAATAAACTTATTTAGTAGATCTAATAAATAAATGGACATAGTCAATTTGGGTCAATTGCCAGATCAACTCTTAATTTAAAAATCTTGTGGAATTTCATATGCACACTTCTATTTCTGAATCAGCTCATGTTGTACAAACACATTCACCATACATCATGATTTTCCAAACACAACAGTAAGGCTTTGTATAAGCAATCTGAGTATGCCCTGTGTAGATGAGGCATGAGGAAAGAGAAGCAAAGGCAAGTTCAAGAGCAGGAAGTGATCTGCTCTAAAGTCATATCAAGCACTTTTGATGAAAAGTTCCTTGAGTTTCAGACTCTTAAATCATTAGACAGGGTTCTAATGATTAGGATAAATGACTACATTCCTTTTCCTTAAGAAGCAAATATTGAATGTTTAGAGAACACAGGTTTTATGTTGGGATAAAACCAGATTAAGAGGCAATTTGTAAATCTTTAGCTTTAAAGTTTTTAGCTATCGCTCTGGTTTCCTTATATTGTTGAACTGCTGGCATTGCATTATGCCACACACGGTTTTCAACAGCGCGGAATCTAATTGGTTCATACATAACAAAGTCTTCTGTTGTTTATATAATTGGCACATAATAATTCTTTTCCAGGATTTGTTTTTCCAGGCTTCTCAGTGATCTGTTGAATAAGGCCAGAGTACTTCCCGCAAAGAAGCTTTTAAGATAGATCTTAATTCCAAGTCAATGTTTTCTAGTAACTTCAGTGTACCTCCTCTTTGAGAACTTTGGATCAAGATAAATCAAAATGTTATGTGGAAAGTTAAACAGTGTCGAGTTTGGTGCTAGCTGTAATTGCATTGTACCATGACTAGAACAGTCTCAGTACATTCTTTTCAGAGTGTCTTATTCACCATTTTAATACTGCAACAGATTGAAACCTGTTGTAATTATTTTTCATCTCCTTTAGTCTCCAGAAATCAAGATGCCAAATCAAATGAAATTTGGATCCCGAGAGTTATAATAATTGTAACTTTTATATGTTGATTATTAATCTGTTTATTATTAATAAAACATAATTCCTAACATAATAAGTTCTTGAGACTATGCTCCTTATAAAACCAGTATAAGACAGAATTCCATATGTGTTTAACAAATCAAATAGATACTAGGCACTTATGCTGCTATGATCTGAGCCCTTGATATTGTTTGAATTGTTTGTGGCATCTTAGTATTTTAAAGAGACTACAAATGGAGAGAGCAGATAAACTCACCCAAAAGAACAGACCTTGAAGTCTGATTCAATATCTATTTAATCAGAGGACTATCCAGTACTGTAATATATACAATATATCATCTGAGGCATTTTGTTAAATCTAGGTTTATCATGAAAGACCTAGCTCCAGATTAAAATCACAGCCTGTATTTTGAGAGGAAAGAGAAAAGGAAAAAAAGGAAGAGATATTCTAGTTAGGGGAAGGTGATGTTAAAAATTTAGGCAAAAATCAAAAGCTTTTAAGAAAAAACTATTTGAGACTGAAAAGAAAAATAATTTTTTTTTAAGTTACTGTTTTTAAGTTAAAGTTATGAAATACTTTCTACATTTCTCATGCGTTGAAAATAAAATTTAAAGCACAGGTTCTGTGAAGTAAAGGCCTAAATTAAGAGCCAAGAAAGTAATAGGACATCTCTTCACTAAAGTAATTTCTATGAACAAAGTGTTTTAATATGAAGATTGAATCATTTTTCTGCACAAAATATTGATTTTTTCATCTTTTCACCATGCTATAGGCTGAATATTTGTGTCTCTCCTAAATTCATAGGTTGAAATCCTAACCCCCAATGTGACAGTATTAGGAGGTAGGGCCAATGGGAGGTGATTTGGTCATGAGGGTGGAGCCTTCATGAATGGGATTAGTGCCCTTATAAAAGAGGCCCCAGAGAAATCCCTTGTCCCTTCCACCATGTGAGGTACAGTGAGAAGACAGACACTTATGATGAAGTGGGCTCTCATCAGACACTGAACCTGTGGGGCCATGATCTTGGACTTCCCAGGCTCCAGAATTGTGAGAAATAAATTTCTGTTGTTTATAAGTCACGAAGCCTATGACATTTTGTTATAGCAGCCTGAATGGACTCTGACACATCATAGAACCAAGAACACCAAAATTCATTAAAAATTAAACAAGAAATGCCCATTTAGGTCCTTTTCAAATGTTTTCTCTCTCTCTTTTAAGAAGATGAATTAGACCACAGTTAAGATTGCAGGATTTTTGGATAATAGAAATAATATACAGATGGTCCCTGACTTAAGATGGTTGACTTACAATTTTCTGACTTTACAATGATGCAAAAGCAATATGCATTCAGTAGAAACTGTACTTTGAATTCTGAAGTTTGATCTTTTCCTGGGCTAGTGATATGTGGTATGATACTCTCTCATGATGCTGGATAGCAGCAGTGAGCTGCAGCTCCCAGTCAGCCATGTGATTATGAGGGTAAACAACTGATACACTCACAATCTTTCCATAACCATACAACCATTCTGTTTTCACTCAGTATAATATTCAATAAAGTACATGAGATATTCAACACTTTATTATAAATTAGGCTTTGTGTAAGATAACTTTGCCCAACTGTAGGCTAACGTAAGTGTTCTGAACTTGTTTAAGGTAGGCCAGGCTAAGCTATGATGTTCAGTAGATTAAGTGTATTAAATGCATTTTTGACTTAATATTTTCAACTTATGATGGATTTAATAGGACATAACCCCATCATAAGTCAAGGAAGATCCATACTAAACTTGAGCCTACTTCTTAATCACCATGCAAGAAGTTTTTTGGGGGGCATCTTGTTACAGTTTGCAAGATGTTGTTAAAGGTTCTAAGGGCAAAGCAGTAGAAATTACATTCTTAAGAGAGTTGCTCAGAATAACATTTTAAGAACCAATTCCTACTGTAATCAATCATATGACCTAGAAGTAGGTATAATCCATTCATTCATTCATGCATTTAAGATATAGTAAGCTAGGCAATGTGCCAGGCAAAGGGACAAAAAAAATTGAAAAACAAGGCTTCCAGTTTCTGGTCCAGCATATAAGGAATTTGGGTGTCATCACTCTATATTAACAACAAGTGAAAAG